CACCCCGGAGAGAAGTGGGTCCACACCGTCTTTGCGAAGACACTCCCCACCCGACCCGGATGTCCGGCTCCCCACCTCCAGCAGCACAACAAACGCTTCTTCCAGACTCAGGCCTTGTGATTATAAATTTTTTATTAGACTTAGGAAGAGAAATCACCGTCCTTCCCTCAAATTAAAAAAAAAAAATACAAAAGCTACATACAAAACGCGAGGTCAGACGACTAGACTTTCCCGACTCAGGGCCAAGTTCTGCAAGGGAGAAAGAAACGGGGTGTCAGCTGGGGAGGCCCGGAGCGGCCCGCAGGGGCTGGCCCAGGACAGCCGCACACTCACCTTCTTGAGCCTGCGCTCCCGGGAGGCCTGGGAGTCGGTCTCGGAGTATGGGGGCGGCGCAGGGGGGTAGTAGGCCTCCTCCTCATCTTCCTCCTCCTTGTAAGGTCGCCTCCTCTCTGGCGGCCCCCTTTTCTTCAAGGCCTCCTCCACTAGCCGCCCATCATACTGGGGGTCCCTGGACCTGTAGCCGTCGTCGCGGGGGGCGCGGGCGCGCGGGCAGTGGGCCCTCGGGTCAGCGTGAGGGCGGTCTCGGTCTCTAGACCTGAAGTCATCGTAGCGGGGTTCCCTGCCGCGTGCGTCGTCTTGTTCGTAGAGGTCATCTCGGCTGCGGCTTCGGGGAGGTGCGTAGGCGCGTCCTCTCTGCCCACTCCTTGGGGGAGACCTCCCCGATGCGGATGAGCCCGGCCGGGAGAAGTCATCCAGGGCATCCACGGAGCGCGCCCGGGGCCGCCCCGCCGACCGGCCACTCCCCGGCCGCTGCGTGAGGGACTCCTGCTCCCACCTCCGGGGACTTCGGGGAGAGTAGCGACCCCAGTCCTCGTCCCGGATTGGGGGGAGAGCAGGGCCCCGGGAAGGCCCAGATCTCCAGTCGTCTTCATGGAGGGAGGTGACTTCACTCATGGCTGTGGGGAACGGGCAGAGGGTCATCAAGTGCTGGAGGTCAGGACTGAACACTAGGGGCCCTGGGCTTCAGCAGTGTCCCCCATTCTGTGTACTTGCTAGGGGGCCCTAGGTGTCTTACCGTTAGGTAAGTGAGGATATGCAGTCTCTGGGCTGGCTCTCAGGAGACATGCATCCTTCTCTCCCTCCCACCCCACACGGGCAAGCCGGTTCTCACCCCGCTCTGCGCGTCCATTGGGAGGGCCGTGCCGAGAAGGGTCAAAGTTAGCCAGCTCCTTCTCCATGTAGTACAGGACCCGCATGGAGTCGTCCTGCTGGTTGGCCTGGATCCTGTAGCCGCTGCGGACTTCTAGGGACAGGAGACGGGTCATCCGTTTGGGAGGTCAGGCTGACCCAGCCTCCTCCCCGAGAGCCCTGCCCAAACCCCTAACATCTCGCTTCTCACCAGAGTTCACGCTGCTGTCTGTGTCACGAAGCAGAGGCACCTGGGAGCTGTGGCCGCCGACTGGGGGAGATTGATGGGCTGTGAGTGGCTGCCCACCTGGAGCAAAGCCCCTCCTTTCCAGCCCTCGACCCCCTGATATCCAGCCTTCCCTGTTCCAGCTTCCCCCAGGCCTCACCTGAGCTGTTCCTGTCGAAGTCTCCAGGGTACCTGCTCTTAAAAGGGTCCATGGGAATCATGGAAGGTGGGGGTGGGGTCTTGGAAGGCGAAACAAAGCCATAGACGTTGGGGTTGTAGATGCTTCCGCCTTCTGTGACTGCTTTGCCGGCCAGATACACTGGGGGGGGGGGGGACACACAGCATGAGGACGTGCCCAGGAACCTGCTGCCTGGCACCATGATAGGCCATCTGGAGGGACGTGCCGGACCGTCCCACCCCCAGCTGGTGCACTCCCTGGGCACTTGGTTAGTTTCTGGAGGGTCCCTGAGGCCAGGGGACATTAGCTTCATGGAGTCCATACCTGTGCAGTTCCTCAGATGCATTAAGATGGGGGAGCCCACTGGCAGGCCAGTAGGTCCACTTAGGCTGGATGATGGCTCCCCAACATTTGATAAGGGTTTATATAATAGACTCTCACTCTCTTTGGCCACCCTGAGCCTGCACTCTTACAGCAAAACATGAGGTGATGTGGGCCTTTAGGTAAAGGCCCGGGACTGAACTCCTGCTGCTCTATATTAATCACAGGGGAGAAAGGAACCCACACCCACTCCCCTCTCACGCCTGCTGGGTCTTTCCCATGGAGTTTTCCAGACCTGGACGCCATGGCCATCAGTCTGAAGCAGGAGCCTGACAGCCAAGTCTCTTCTAGTGTTTCCAGCTTGGGCTCCCCCCAACTCCCACCCTGCCTCGCCCCACCCTGATCCTGGGCTGACCGCTCAAGGGCAAACACTCCTGTGGCCATGACAGCTCAAGGGCAAATACCCCTGCGGCCATCCTCCCCAGGCCCCACGCTGGGCAGTGGCATCTGCCCTTGAGGCCAAGTCCTGGGCCTGGGCAAGCTGCATCTTCCTTGGGAATGGAGAAGGGAAACAGTGGGGTTCAGAGCTGCTTCCTGCTGCTTCAGTACAATGAATGGAAGGCTCAGCACCCCAAGAGAAGCCCCTCTAACTCAGGTGATCAGGTGTTTGGTGATTCCCTTGGGAACTGCTGCTCCAGAGCACCCAGCAGGGAGTGAGTAGGGCCTCTGGGGGAAACAGTCTCAGGATGGAGGAAATGGGGCCTGGCCCCCGCTTCAATTAGTGGGGTAACTGCAACTTGGCTGCATCTCTGGGGCTCTTCTTGCCACCTTTTAAGGTGACTCCAGTGTCTGAGCCAGGTGCCACCAACTAAAAATGGCGAGTGAGAGAGGGTGGCACAGAAGTCTCCAGAGAGCAGTGGCAGTTCTGCATGGGAGCAATATTTTGAGGAACCAGAGGCCCACCACTGACTGACTTCAGTGACCACAAAATTAGTCAGCATGGGTGCCCATGCTGGGCACTAACATTCCTGTCTCCCCTTAATGCTCGACGCCCCATGAGATCAGAGCCCCGCATAGAAGGAAGAGTCTGGGAGAGGGAGGTCACGCGGTGTGGGCGGCAGTCAGTACTGACGCCAACATCAGACTGTCCGGCGGTGGGCGGGCAGTGAACACGTCGCCTCGGCTGAGTCCTGCACGAGGCTGCTGGACACCCCTGTTCACTGGACCGACCCCCGCCCCCCAGCTCACTCTCTGACAGCTTCTGCCTCGGCCCATTTTACAGAGGAGGAAACTGAGGCTGAGAGGGGGAATCTGAGTTTTTGAGCAGATACAGTATCAAGCCAGCTTCTAGCTTATGGTTTCTCTGAGTAAGCTTCAGAGAAGGGGCAGAACCCGCCGCTCACACCCACGATTCCACTGTCCAGCAGCATGGATCCTGCAGAGGTGAACCCACGCAGGAAACCAGGGGACCTGGCACTGTCGTCCCTGAGGACGGAGGAGGGCAGCAGCAGGAGGAAGACTCACTTCCTCTTTCCCTGCTCCTGTTTTGTTCCTTCAGCTTCAGTCCCCTTCCCCTTCCCGCCCAGCGTTACTGCCTGCACCTCGCTGGGCCAGTCCTGTGGCGGGTATGTGGGGGGCTGGGGTGGGGGGTGGAGTGAGGGCTTCGAACCCGGGCTTAAATGATAGGGTGTGTGCACCTTTGCTTTCTTGCCTTTTTCACTGACGATTCTGTTGCTTAGTTTAAAGGAAGCTGGGCTTTCCAGGGAATCAGGTTCTGTCCTACTTGAATTTTTTTCTTTTTAACCAAGTGGGTAGATTATACTTTCCAAAGAAGAAACTCCCAATCAACGCAAGTTGAAAATCAATGCAAGCTGAAGGACGTTAAGTGATCGCCTGAACAAACAGGTCTTCCCTGACCCACTCCCTCCCAAGCGACTCGCCTCACAGCCCCCCAATGGCCTGTGGCCCCATCCTGGAGGGCAGGCACATGGCCGCCTCCCCCGGACCAGGCGGGGACAGTCAGAGGGGGCACTTACGGGCCTCCGGGCAGCAGCACTTGTGGGGACAGCAAGGACACCTGACGTAGCAGCAGCAGGTGTGAGGGCAGCACTGGCACCAGCAGATGCCCAGGAGGAGGAAGACGAGGGAGACGGCCAGGCTGACCATGACCACGAACAGCCAGTCTGCAGGGAGAGCAGCACAGGCCGTGAGCTGAGGCCTGGGAGCGCACAGGGCCTCTGGTGAGGGCTGAAGGGCGGGGGTGCACAGCTGCTAGCTCAGGGGGAAGCTGCAGCCCTAGCTGGAGTCTCATGGCAGCCTGGGGTGCGGCACAGTGGAGGGACACCCGCTCCCATGCGGCCCAGGCCGCCCCAAAGTCAGGGCGCTCGTCGGACAAGGTGAGAAACAAGGTGTGACAGGACAGAGCAAGACAGGCTGAGCCTGAGAAGGGACAGAACCGCTGCCCAGATCCCCACCCCCAGAAGAACACTGCAGGCACCAGTCACAGGGGCCCCCTGCCTGCACCCCAGGCCCACCCAGCCACCTAGGTCACTACAGGCCACAGAGGAGGTGTGAGCCGGGGTTAGTGGGGGCAGCAGGCGGTCTTTAGGACAGGAGGAGACACTCAGAAGCAGGCAGTGGTGTGGGGGGGCTCCACCCCCGTACCTTCCACGGGCCCCGCCTGAAAATCAGGTAAGAGCTCAGCCACCCCCGAGGTCCTGCCTGGAGGGACAAAAGAGAGACAGATTATGCCGGCAAGGGGCCAGCGCGGCGCCCCGCTCTGAAGACCAGAGCCAGGCCGCTTGGGGCGAAGGTGTGTCCGGAAGCAGGAGGGTCCTAGCGGGTCTTCCTTGCCCAGGTGGGTGCTGTTTTCCAGGAGGCTCGTCCCATAGTTCACCCATCAGACCACAGGGCCTCTGCTGCTCTCAGGGGTCCCATGGATGCGGAATCTTGGCCTCAGCTGGGGCACTGCACCTTCTCCAGGAAGGCTCTTGTCGGGACGGGGACACACCCGTTCCCTTAGGCTCGTGGAAATGTTTTGTTTTTTTAAACCCAAAGAGAAAAATACACTACTACACGTGAAATAGTGAGCTGTCTTCATAGCAATGTGATCCTAAAATATGTTGTTTTTTTAATATGAAGAGGCCCGGCCGTGACGGCAACAGTGTTTCTACCCCTGGAAGTCAGTTTGTGCTGGCTTTGGGGGGGGGGGGCTCCCTGTGCACGGCTTGTGCCTTCCCCGAGGGGCTCTGAGCCCCCCACCGCACCCCCGATGGGGCGCTGCCTCTAAACCACAGGTTCTCTGAGTGTGATCCTGTCCACGAGGCCCTGCGACGTTCGTGAAAGCACGAAGCCGCTATCTGCCTTTTCACTCCCTTCTTCACGGGTGTCGGAGCTTCCCGGGCGGCAGGACCTCCTGCCCGTGTGCTTGTGACCTTCGCGCCTGAACGGCTTCCCAGCGTCAATTTCTGAGACGTTCAGCAACTCTGACCAGAGCCCACAAGCACTGAGGTCCTCCGTCATAGCTAAGCAGGCAAGCGCGTGCTCAGCCTGCCAGGCGCGACCTCACCGCTGCGGAGGTGCCGCGCCCGGTGCGCGCGCCCGTGCACGCAGACCCCGCCCTGGGGTCTGAGCGCCCCGGGGTCTGAGCAGCGCCGGCGCCGGCCCGTCACGGGTTTCCCTCACACATGTGTTTCCTTGCATCATGCATGTGATGATAGCAATGGACAGGGCACGCACAGCGGGGACCATGTGTGCTGATGAGCAGAGCATCTGGCTGGTGGCCAAGGGCAGCTTCCCACCCACACCCACGGTCCTCGCCGGCAGACAGCTGGACACCCTGGGCCCCTGGGCTTGTTCGAGGGAAGCACCCACGCAGCGCCATCCCCACGGCGCGGAGGGCATGTTCCTGTGCCTGGCAAGGGGCTGGGGATGGCACGTGGTGGAAGGGGGCAGGTCTCCTCTAATCAGCGGGCACAAGCACCGTCCTCCCTCACTGCCCAGCGACCCTGCCCATTTCTGTGTTTTAAAACAACCAGGCAGGAAGAGGAGAGGCTCAGCTCACCCCACTCTTAGCTTGACTCTGGCTTATTTGAAAGGTTTCAGGAGAGGGGTTCCCGCCTGGGGTGTGGTGCACAGATAAGCCCAAGTGACTGGCAGTGCCTGAGGGAAAAGCAAAGCAGGCGATAGACCAGAGAGGAGCTGAGCCGGAGGCAGAGCGCAGGCACGCAGGAGGGTCCGGGCCTCAGAGCCAGGCCACTCACCCAGGACGATGAGCTCCGCGTAGGCCTCATTGTTCCCCTGCAGGTCCTGGGCCGAGACCACGGAGCAGTAGTAGACACCACTGTCCCCCCAAGCTGTCTGGTCAAAGGTCAGGTCAGCATCTACGTGGAGAGGAGAAATGTGAGCACACCTGGGGGCGATGGGGAGGCCCCAGCAGGCAGGGCCGCCCCCAGAAGGGGCGGGCTGCAGGGGTTAGGTGGAACTATCTGTACCATGTGGTCTTCCAGGCTTGGTTCTAAACACCAACAGGGGATCTCAAGAGGTCTGTGAGGTGGGTGCTGTGATCTCTCCTGTTTGCAGCTGAGAGCACTTAAAGCCCCAAGGAGTGCAGGCTGGGGTGGCGAGACTCCACACCTGGCATCCTCTTCCACCTGGCCAAGCACCCCCCACATACACACACACCTCCCCACATGCAGCACCAGGGAGCCAGCCTCAGAGACGGGGCACAGGGCCAGGTGAAGAGAAATAGGTCAGATCCCAGGAATCAGGAGCCACCCAGGCATGAGAAAGAGTAGGTGTGAGAAAGACAGGCCATCTCTCCCGCCGCAGCCCCCACATTCCAGGTCAGGCCCAGGGCTTGGGGACGCTCCTTCAGAAGCAGCCCCGGGCAAGGAGCCTGTTAATTACACCAGTAATGAAAGTCTTTCAGCACATCCGGTCTCCTCTCTGCTCCTGGGGCCCTCATTAGTTACATCCCTTAATCAACTTGGACAGGGTGGGACCCACTGGTCACCCTGCCAGTGGCCCAGGGGTCAGGAGAGAGAAGCAGGTCAGTCATCGGGCTGCACAGCCCCCTGTTGGCCTGCCAGCACCTGGCCCAGGTACCCACGTCCCTTCTGCGCGATGGCTCAGGGTGGGCACTGCCACGTGCCCATCTGCAGAGCCCAGCACCACTGGCATCTTCAGTGTAGACCCCTGGCACACTGAAGGCGTCAAAGAACCTTTGGAGGGAAGACCTCGCTCCATTCCGAACGCCTGGCAAGGCCCAGAAGGCATTTGGCACTAGGTACAGGTCTCATGCCACCCTCTTCTTCACTGGCCAGACACGCCTGCTGCTTCCCTTGGTGTGCCAGGCTCCCACCCGCCTCGGCTTGTGCTCTGCCCTCTGCCCAGCACTGTCCTCTTGGCCCCTCGAGGTGGTGGTTCACCACTCAGGCGCCCTAGTCTACCAGCCAGGTAGAGGCTGATGGTCAAGCCCCATGGGCTCCATGGAAGCAGCACCGGGCCTGTCTGGGCCAGAACCTGCCGAGTCCCCGGCCTGACTCGGCACCTGGGAACAAACCTTCTCTGCCCTCCCTCAGCTGCTGCTGTCCGTTCCAGCATGCTAGGGAAACGGGGACATTCGAGCAGGCACTCAAGTGAGCCCCCCGACCTTCACAAGCAGTTACTGGAGGCCCCGTGGAAGCTCGGCAGCTGCAGAGCAAGAGCTCTGTGTGACTGTAACCTTGGCCTTCCAGAGAGCTCTCCAGGGGATCCCTGAGGTCAAGGCTATTTTCATAATACTAGTTAAATGCTACTTGCCTTTTTTGCTTTATCGCTCGTGAGTACCCGGTGGCAACCCCAGAGCTGCATGACCCCGTGTTATCACTGCATGAAGAAGTGGCTGAGAAAACCCAGCTGCTCTGCTCAGCCAGACTGCAGGGCGGCTTGCAGGAAAGAAAAGGCGATGCCACACTGTAGAGACCACGGCTATGTTTTGGTACAAATTATGCCACTTACGGTAACTCAAGACGATGTCTATTGTTGTCTGTTTCTTACACGTCTCTCACTGCTAGCCATTAAAAACAGAAGTCCTTCGAGGACCTTTCTACTTAAGAGTGTGAAAGGAGGGGCCTCCCTGGTGGTGCAACGGGTTAAAGCACAGCACTGTGAGGCTGTCAGCAGCCACTGCAGCATGAGTTCGATCCCCGGCCCCAGAGGTGACCCACATGGTGCAGCAGACCTCTCCTGACCTGCCTGCTGCTCCCCTCAGCAGTGGATTTCAGGAGATGCCTGTTCCATTCCCCACTCTGTCTCTGGTGAATCCTCTCACCCCCCCACACCTATGGCCTGCACCCCAGTTCTTGTATGCACAAATAAATCTTAAAAAATAAAAGAGTGTGAAAGAAGCATAATGTGCAAGAACATACCTGAGGACCACTGCTTTGAGCGCAGATATAAGTCCCTGTCCCACAGGACCCAGAGCCAAACTGAGAAAGAGACAAGTACAAAATCCAAATACATCGCGGGCGCCAGGTGGTGATAAGGAGTCCTTGTGGCCGTGGGGTTGTCCAAGTTTAAGTGGCCAAGGAAGGACTCTGAGGAAAGTGACCTTCAGTGCAGGAGTGGGGGACACAGCCCTGCATGTGACCCGATTGTCAAGCCCTTCCTCTGTGCTGGGCCCCTTTGTTATATCCGTTCCTTGCTCCTCCTCAAAACACAAACAACCGTCTCCTACACCCTCCAGCTTCTCCTTAACACCCTCTCAGCCCCTCATTTCTCGGTCTGTAACTTTAAATTAGACCCTGGCCAGGCCTCTCCCGAGCTCCCAGCAGGTTCCCCGCCATTGCTGAGGAACGGACGGAAACACCTACCAGGTCCAGGTTCACAGCCAAGTTCACATCTGGGCCCCCGTGGCTGGATGGGGCCTCTGTGTGTTTGGCTTGGCCTGCACGATGTTTTCTAAACCCATGAAAAATAGGACTTTCCGGCTTCTTTGATCACTTCTGAGGCCCGGGCCCACCTCCTTCCTGCAGGGCCGCACCCTGTTCCCACTCTGCCCCTGGTCCCACTTTGCCTGCCCTCGGCTGCTTCACTTGTCTGGGGTGCTGGGGTTCCAGGGGGGACAGAGCTGTACCGCCTCTACATTGGGGCCTCTGCTTCCTTATCCGCTCACACCACGGGTGGCCCTCAAGCTTTCAGGGGGTCCAGGGACGCTCTGCTCCCAAGGGGGATACATGGGGCCCCAGCAGCCTAAGGAAGCAGAAGCACCTCTCCCGCCGAGGTGGCCCCCAGAGCGACAGCTGGGAAGAGTGGGAGGGGAGTGGGGCCCACCCCCTTGAGGGTCACTGGGCTGAACAATTAGTTTGCCTGGGACTGCTCTCACTTTTAAAACCTGGGCAGTCGGTGGGGATAAGCACCCCAGAGGGAGGCCCACCTTTCTTCAGCCTCAAAGCTGCAACAGAGGAAGCTCCCATGGCGACGGGGCTTCCTGAGAGGACATACACACAATGGAGGTTTACAAAGCATGTCCTCTGTCAGGCAGGGGCCCGGCGTGAAAGACTCAGGCCTGTGAGGCACGTGAGAGCCGGAGGGTCGTCCTGGAGTTCTGGACTCAGCAGAGCAGATGCAATTCTAGTGCCTGGGCCGCCCCAAGGGGCCACCGGGTGGGCATGTTATGCTCAGCCTGGAGAGGCCCCTGGGGAGCAAGCCTGTACCAGCTGAGCCCCCAGAAGCCCTCTGACTTTGAAAACAGCAGGATGCTGCAGGCCAAGCTGCCTGTGGAAATTTAGGGCAAGTAGAGCAGGTAGTTCCCGGAACAGGACTGACAGGCTGGGTCCCTGGGAGCTGCCTTCAGTCTGAGGTGCAGAGAGAGCCTGGGGGGATGGAGCATGCTCCATGCCCTGGTGTCTTGGGGGTCTACTGAGGGACCTCTCCTTCCCCCTCTGCCCCAGGCCCAAGATTAAGGCGCTAAGCCCTGTTCAAGTCAGTGAGAGGATAAATGCATTCAGCGGGTGAGCTTCACCCTCACCCAGTCACCCAGCATCTTCCTCTCTGCCTTTAGGTTCTAGGAGCCCCAGTCCTGGTCTCTCCCCAAGTCACACTCAGGTCTGAAGGTGTCAGCCCTGCCCCCTGGGCTGTCTCTGCAGCACTGGCTCCTCGTGGAAAGTCCCTTGACCCTTATCTTATCTTTACCTACCTACCTCTCTCCAGTAGAATGTCATCTCCTTGAGAGCAGGGACCTGACCCGTCCTGGCCACCGTCACCTGCACCCACTGGCACTCAGTAGCTGCTCAATAAATACTGGGTAAAGGGGCCTCCCAGGTAGCACAAGGGGTTAAGTCACCCCACTATGAAGCTATGGGCAGCCACTGCACCCTGAGTTTGATCCCCATGTGACCCACATGGCACAGCAGACCTCTCCTGTCTCCCCGCTGCTCCCCTCAGCAATGGATTTAGTGGACCTGCCTGTTCTGCTCCCCACCTTGTTTCTGGTGAACCCTCTCACCCCCGCACCTCTGGCCAGTACGCCCATTCTTCTATGCACAAGTAAGTAAAATAAATCTTTTTAAAAAATAAATGCTGGCTAGAATGCAGGAATGCCTCCTCCCGGTTCCTTACTTAGACCCAGCAGACTCTTCCTACAGGCAGGCAGCATCAGGGCTCTTTGTGTCTTTAGACTCTGCCCAGGCCTCTCCCAAGCCAGAGCTCACAGCAGCGGGTTCTAGGGCCCCGAACATGGACCCCAGCTCCAGCACTTTCCTAGCTGTGTGTCCACCTCTCTGTGCTTCACTGTTCGGAGAATAAAATGCAGGGGTGAGGCCCAATGGGAGATGGTGTGACAAGCCACAGGCGTTCCCCATTAAATCTCCCACTGTCACCTTCTCTGTGAGTTTTTTGCTGAGAGGCGAGAACCAGAGTGACTGACTCAGAGCCCCAGTTCTGTTACCAGCGGTGTGACCTCCCTGGCTCTGGATCAAGCGCCTCCTTGAATATAGCCTCTGTAAAATAACAATAATGGAAACTGCTCACGTAATTACTATGGGGCCCGCATGAGCTAATCCATGTAAACTTGAATGAAAGCCTGGCACACAGGAGGCCTTTGATAAGTTGTTACTTCTATAAATGTTACTAATTATTGCTATCCTTATTAGTATCATTATAGAACCCCTGCCTCGCTCCCCATTGTCTTCACGCGCTCCCAGGGCGTCTCCCTCCCTGGAATGCGGGTTCCCTGAAGGAAGGGAGCTGATGGTCTCCATTGGCTTACGGTTTTGCCAGGGCTTCAGGTGGGCCCTGGCGTGCTCTTTGCATGAGGAATCCTTGATCACTAAAGGAACCGATAGATGGGCAGAAGCAAGGATATCAAGGATGGAGCCCTCCTTCCAGACTCGTGCTGACAAGTTTCCAGGGGAGGGGAAAGGGGGGCTCCAAGACGGGCCCCGGGAGCCAGCACCCCCACCAGCCAGGCCAGCCTGTAACTGCCCCACCCCACATACTTCCTGTGATGGTGATCCTCCGGCCCTGGTAGTACTCGCCCAGAGTGACGGCGTTGCCCTGCTTCGTGGCCACCACTCTGATGGTGCGCACGCTGTCCTGGCACTCCACGTAGGGGTTGTAGCCCGGGTTACCGGCCGCCAGCTGGGCATTGAGCTGGTTCTCCACGCTGGCTGGGGAGAAGGCATCGGCGATGCGGTCCCGGCAGAACGACTTGTACTTCCAGATCACGATGGGCGCCGTGGGGGTGTTGGTCATCTGGTAGGAGCAGGGCAGGGTGACGGGCTGGAATAGGATCACCACGTGGTAGGGGTCTGACACGGTCACCTGGATGGCGCTGGCAGGGGCTGCGGGCAAAAGCACAGTCGCGGGGACCGCGGTGAGCTCAGGGAGGGGCTCCAGGAGGAAGGAGCAACATCACCTGTCACCAGCCGGGCACAGCAGTCTGGTTTTACAGAGCTCCTGGCACACAGAGTTCCCTAATCCCCAGAACGGGCGAGGTAGCCGGGATAATCGTGCAATTTTATAGAGCCATGGGCTGATGGGCTGAAGTGGTAGGTGCAAGGTCACACTGGCGGCTTTGCAGCGCCGGCGGATTCCTCTTCCCCCAGGGTGGCCTCTGCCGCAGCCGGCCCCTCCTCCCCTTCGCCATCCTCTCAGGGATAGGGGTTCTCTCAGCGGCCTGCACATGGCCACCACAATGCCCAGGACTCCCGGCTGCAAATCCACCACCAAGGGCTCTCGATGGCGAACTTGCGGTGCAAATCTTGGCGTTTAGCTGATTTACCACGGAGTTTTAACCCCACATAGCTCCATCAGCCTCCCATCTCATCCTGCCCCACAGTCGTCTCAAACACACCAAAAGTGCCTGAGGCGGAAAATAAAATCCAACCCACCCCCAACCAAGCAAACGTTCGATCCCGATGAAAGTTTGCCAGCACAAGGCAGTTTGAAGTTCCTAAGTCCATCCCACCGGACCCTCCGCACAGATACCGCTGGGATTGGGTTTGGGGTGGGGGTGGGAAACCCGAAATCCCGCACCCACCCGCGGCCGGGCGCCGTTTCACGAGCTCTCCCTCCAGGAAGCGCCTGAGCCATCCCTCCAGCGCCTTCTCCCGTTACCCCAAGCTTAGGACCTCGGGGTGCACCCCCTGCCTCCAACGCAGCCTTCCCTGGGGATCGGTGGTTCCATACCGCCGCGGCACAAAGGGTCGCCCGCTCCCGGAGGTCCAGGGTTCGCGGCCGCAGGAGTTTCACTTCCTGCTATCTCTGAAAACGGGCGCTCCTGGACGCGGATGGGGAATCTCCCCCATTCTGGCACGGGGGGGGGGGATCTCCCGAGAGTCCGGGATCGCGAGATTGTCCCCGAGCTCCCCGACCCCCAGCTCTCCCGCCAACTGGGCGGCGTAAAACTCCCTTCATCCCCTTTCTTCAATGCCCTCCCTCCGTCCCCCCGCACCCGGGGCCCCCACGGTCCGTACCTGTGCACAAGGTGCCGAGAAAAAGCCACACGACGACGACCGCGCCCCGACCGGGGGCGGCCGGGCAGGAGCCTGGCCCCCGACGGAGCCCGCCGGCTACCGGCGCCATCGGGGCCGTCTGGGCGCGTCCGGCCCGCGCGTCCCCTCCCAGGTACCGGGAGAGTAGGGGGCGCCGCGCGCACCAAGCCCGGGAGGGGTGCATGCTCCTCCCCTTCCCTCTTCTTTCCCTTGTCCCTATTCCAAGCCCACCCTGTCCTGTTCTAGCGTTTTAATAGGAGGAAACCACGTTGATGAAGAGCGCCCGTCCAGCTTGGGAGAAGAAACTTGCTCGGCCCACTGTGGTTCTGCGAGGCACCCCAACCCCCTGCGCGCTCTGGGGAATGGATCTGCCCAGGTACACTGGGTGAGAACCCCGGGCTGGGCCAGGGGGTGGGCGGCGAGGTGGGGCTCCTCCTCCTCCTCCCTCCCCGGAAGTAGGCTGACCCAGGTGCGCCCCGGCCCCGAGGGTTGGAACCAAGTGACCGTCACCGGGAGGGGGCCTGCAGACCAGAGATCCCGTCCGGCCCCCTCCGGGGGGGGGTTGAGCCGAGCCGAGGGTGACTCACGAGAACTAGACGCGACTGAGATGAGTCACCTGGTGGGGGGCGGGCCCCGCCGCGCACCTGTTCCCTCCCTGCCCACACCCCTCTCTCCGCGGTCGATGGACCGGCCTGAGTACACCCTGCGGGGAGGGGCGGGCTGGGCGGGCTGAGCGAGCTGCGCGCTGGAGAAATTCCTAGGTAGCGCCTGACCTTTCCACTAGCCTGGGTTTCCTCGGATCCCGGTGCGGGGCTGCGGGGCCTGCGGACCTCTTGTACCTTCCTCTTAGATGACTTAACGACCCAAGGGAAGGCCGTGGGGTGGGGGGGACGCCCACTTAGGGACGCCCGAGGGGAATCGGGCCCTGGAAAAGTTGGGGTTCTACTTCTGAAGTTTACTCGCCTTCCCATCCCCAAGTCCCTGTGTGGCCTTCGGCATCCCTGGCCCCTAGGGCCGTTGTCGGACTCTGGCTCGTAAAGGGACCGAACGGAGGTGCCGGGTATGGGACCCGTTTCTGCCTAAGAGTTCCGGGAGACCGGGCCACCTGCGGCACCGGACGGGCGGGGCCTGGCGGTCGGGACACGGTGGCACTGCGTGACTCTGCTGCCCCGCGATGGCGGCCAGCGGAAGCGCGTCCTGGGTAACCCGGGGCCATTGCTCGGGGAGGCTCGCGGGAGTCACGAACCGGCGAGATCTGGGGGGTCCTGTACCCTGGCAAGTCGATTTACCTTCCTGGGACACCCCTTTCCCAGCAGAAACCTGATCCCTCTCCAACCTGAAATCCGTCCCGCACCCCTTTTTCCCACTGGTTCATTTCGGTTGGAGCCACAGTAGCCCCCCTGGAAGTTACCTGTCACACTCCCACGTCAGGCCCAGCTCCCTCTGCCCCCAGGTGGCCCCGTGGTCTCTCACCTTCTTTAGGGCTTTCGGTCAAGCTCGCTTTTGCCTCAGTAAGGTCCCTGGTTTTTGTAAAATTTCAACCCTTTCATATCCCCCTTCCTTACATGTCCCTCCCCTTTTAAAAACTATTTTTATTATGATAAAATATCATACCATCATATCTATTATTTTAGTCATCCACAATGTTGTGTAGTTATCATCACTACTTTTTACATGTAAACTCTACCAATGAAATAATAATTCTTCCTTCCCATCTGCCCCCAGTCCTGATGAACTCCAGGCCCCTTTTTGACCCTCTAACAAATTTCCTATTCTCCATGCCTCATCTAAGTGCTAAGTGCATCATCATATAATGCTTGTCCTTGTGTGTCTAGTTTATCACTAAGTATGTTTTCAAGGTCCATCCATGTGGTAGTAAATTTCATTCCTTTTTCATAGTAGAAAAGTATTTTATTGTTATGTATACGCCACATTTTGTATATCCATTTGTATGTCCATTTATTTGAACATTTGGGGTTTTTTTCACTTTTTGGTTATTGTACATAACACTATTGTGAACATCAGTATACAGAGATCTTGTTGTATTGAACCTTTTATTAATATATTGGGTTTTTTTAAAGCTTTAATTCTTATGTATAGAAGAAATGGGGTAAAAGCCAGAGGGAAGAGAGGCATTAGAGGACTCACCAGAAACAGTGGGGAGCAGAACAGGTGGATCTACTGAAATCCACTGCTGAGGGGAGTAGTGAGGGAGACAGGAGAGGTCTGCTGCGCCACATGGGTCACTCCCTGGCCAGGATTGAACTCAGGCTGCAGAGGTGATGGCGGCATAACAGTGAGAATTAACTCCTAAGCCACCAGGAAGGCCCCTACTAATATATTGTTCACCGGTGCTAACAATTAAGTGGTCACACCGATGCTAGCAATTAAGTGGATACACCTCTCCCTGGTCCCAACGATGGGGTACAAGCAAAGAGTTTGGACTTGGCTGTAAAGAAAGTGAGCCCAGGAAAAATACAACCTTTTGTGAAAAGAAGTGTTTTGGAAACTGCTTCCTCCACAAAAATCAGTAACCTCCATAAATGTCTACTTCGAACTGGGAAAACTCCCAGTTCCCAAAAGATAGGGCTCTAAATAAATTTTAACAATCCTCCTATTGTCCCCAATACATGAGCAAGGTCAAATAGATACACTAATCAGAAATCTCTCTGGACTTTCTCGGTAAAAATCCTTGAAATGTAAAATGTTTTCTATGAAGACTGCATAAAATTCTCATTGTGAAACTCAGAATCCCGACAGCTTTTCCGGAACTGCCTGGAGGCTGTAACTGGCTGGAGTCGCCAGTCTGGGTTCTTTGATAAACTCATTCATTTTTGCTTACCTCGGTTTATTTAAGCCAACAGAATAATGTCCCTCTTGGACTCTTGCAACCTTTATTAATGTAAAGTCTGTTCTGTCTTATAATGTACCAACCACTCCAGCTCCCTTTTGGTTACTGTTTGCATGAAATATTATTAAAAGCTACTTTCACTTTCAGAAAAATTCCCTTCACTTTCAACCCTTGATGTGTCTTTGATCTAATAGAACATAATTGGATCATGTTTTGTTTTAAATCCATGCTGCCAATCTCTGATTTTCGATTTAAGAATTTGCTGATAAGAAGAGACGCCTACCACGTTGCTGTTTGTTTTTTAAATGCCTCATAGTTCATAGTTTGGTTTTCTTGTTTGTTTTGTTTTCTTTTGTATCTCATTTCCTTCTTTTGTTAGATAATATTTCCATGGTGAAACGTCTGATTCCCTTCTTATTATATTCAGTAGCTGTTTTCTTTTCTGGCAAGTCCCCTACTTTACATATTTTCCCCTAAAGTTATAACACTTCAACCTAAATTTATATCAGCTTAATTTTAATAGCATGTAAAAACTATGCTTCTATATATCTCTCTCATCTTTTTGTTATTGAGGTCACGAATTACACATTTGTACATTTTGCCAAGCACAACAAAGATCATTAGCGTCATATATTTTCTTATAAGTCGTGAGCTAGTTGAAGGTAGGATATTAGTACAGTAATGCTAGAGTTTAGGGTTGCCTGTCTTTACTAGATCTTTATTTCTTCATATAGCTTCCAGTTACTATCTAGTATTTTGCTTCAACTCCCCTTAGCGCTGTTTACAAGGAAAATCTAGTAGGCAAACACTCAGTTTTTGTTTATCTGGGTGTGTTTTCTCTTAAGATATTTCTGTATGCACACAAGAGCTGGGGTTCAGGCCAGAAGTGCAAGGGTGGGGTGAAAGGATTCACCAGAGACAGAGTGATCAACAGGTTGATCAACAGGGGAGCAGCAGGGAGACAGGAGCGGTCTGCTGCGCCATGTGGGTCAGCTCCCTGGCTGGGGATCGAACTCGTGCTGCAGTGGCTGGCAATAGCTTCACAGTGCTGTGCTTTAACCCCTTGCACCACCAGGGAGGCCCTATCTGGGTGTATTTTAATTTCTCCTTCATTGTTGAAGGAGACAGTTTTTCTGATTATACAATTCTTGTTTGAACTTTTTTTTTTTCTTTCAGAACTTTGAATATTTCAGGAGTGAGGAGGGGATGCTGTAATTTAAATAAAAATGCATGGCACTGGCTTAGACACAGAACAAAATGCACAAGAAAATGTATTTGAAGCCAGAAGGATAGAGACTGATGTCTGACACACTTTGAAAGGTAGATTATAGAATTTCATGAACTTGAAGATTCAGGGGAAATGGGTAGAATGTGGAATGTTAGGAGTGAGTGTTGACTGAAGTTGGTGAAAATTGGGACAGAGTCCAGTTAGAATTCAGCTTTTGACCAGGGTAAAAATCAAGAGCACAGCATGAATTAAATCATCATTAAGCCTTTTTAAAATCTCTGAATGGGGGACCCTCCCTGGTGACGCAGCAGGTTAAAGCACAGCACTAAGAAACTAAAGCCACTTCAGCATGAGTTCCATCCCTGTCTGGAGTTGAGCCACGTAGCACGGCAGACCTCTCCTGTCTCCCCGCTGCTCCCCTCAGCAGTGTACTTCCTCAGTTGGCCTGTTCTGCTCCCCACTTTGTCTCTGGTGAATCCTCTCACCACCCCTGCACCTCAGGATTGTACCCCAGTTCTGTATGCATGAGTAAATAAATCTTTTTTTAAAATCTATGAATGGGAGTACTAAAATGGGAATATGAAGATACTCCCAGAATATCCTCAGCATGGCTCTCTGTGGATGCCTGGTCGCCTTTCGAAGAGAGAGAGAGAAGGAACAGCCTGGACAGAACTGACAATATAGCTATTTTGAACATGGAGTAGCCTGGTGGCTTACAAGAATCCTTTGGTCCCAAATGTTGAGACAAAACATGGTGACAAATCGCTCCTGAGCCGAGGTGGAAAGAGCTTCCTGTACCACCTCAGCTGGAGCCAAACTAGGAAAGAACATCTCTCCTGGAGAGTGGAGACTTGAGAAACAGAGAACAAAGCTTTGAGAAGCCCCCACTCCACCCTCCTGTCCCCAGAAGCTTGTTTGTTATTCTTAGAATTATGGGGTTTGGGTGCTAATCCAAGAATCCTCCCCTTCTACAAGATGGTGTCTCTCCCGCTGAGATTTGGAGGTGACACAGGCCATTGATTTCTGGGTGCTTCCCCTCCTTCCAAATGGATGAGACCCTGTCTGTTGGGTCAACAGACCTGTCTGTTGGGTCAGCAGAAGGCGGATGACTTGGCTTTGTCCTCACTTCTCACTTACACTTACTCGTTCCTGCCCAGCTGCTGTGGGCAGCTGAGTCCTGAGCCACCAGCCTAGTGCAAGCGAGTGGACAACAGGCCCTGGTCCGTGCCGCTGGACTGCGCTGGCCGAGCCGGCTCCCGAGTTCTGCGGGTGACTTCACAATGGGTGGCTCCCCTCTGCCTCTGTGGTATCAGTCTGCCATGCTGGCCCCCCTGTGGCTGCTCACCCTTTCTCTTCCCACTCTGTGGACCCAGATACTAATCAGCTGTACCTCCAAGAGTCCCTGCCAGCAGGCTCTCCTCTCGGGCAACGATGTGGTCCTGCAGTGTGACCAGCCCAGAGCCCTCTGGTACTTCTCATCCATTCTGGAAAAGGAGCCTGTGCTGCTGTCCTATCTGTCTCATGTGAAGAAACTGCCTGGGGGCAGCCTCCAGCTGACCAACCCCCAGCCCACACAGACAGGTCTCTACCACTGCCAGGACCCCAACAGCAGCAGGGTGGTGGAGTACGAGATTGACTTCCAAGATGTCAGCACTCTGCATATCACGCACAGAGGCCTGGGCCAGGCCCCGCTGCAGCAAGAGAGCCTGCCGCTGGGGGGCGGGGAGGTGGTCTTCACCCACTGGGAGGCCTGGCAGGACTGTAACCGCTGTGGGGAGCCCGGGGAGCGGAAACGGCTGGGGTACTGCTACATCAAGGACCCCCAGGAGAAGCCGGTGCCCTGCTGGCTGTTCCTGAGAGCCCAGACCGTGCGGTCCAGCCGCCTGCGGCCAGAGCTGCAGGTTGAAGCCTGCCTGGACGTACCCTGCGAGCACAGCAAGGAGGTCAACCAGCCGTACCTCGCCTTTGACACTTACCAGCTGGACAAGTTGAACACGCACACGTGGCTCACCTGCCCCTTGGCCTCCATCTACAGGTGACAGCACCGGGCATCAGCCCTGCCTTTGACCCCCCCCCCCCGCTCCGTTGCCCGTCACCTGTGAGATTCACTTTCCAGCAGGCTCTGTCACCCAGCCCGTAGGCTCAGTGTGAGCAGTGAAGTCCCTTCACTGACTGGGCCTAGTCTCTTCGGGCACAGGCTCCTGGTAGTCAGGGGAGACCAAGGTAAAACCTAGAGACCTGTGACGCTCCAGCACTAGCGTACGCCCACGTAGTACTGTTACAGGGCACCCAAATTCTGTTAGAGGACAGGGGGAGAGGGGCACCCCTGAAGCCCCAAAACCTGCCTGCTCTAAGTGGGTTCTGCCATCTGCCGCGACAAGACAAAACATATAAAACTTTAATGAAAAGGGACTTTAATATAGTGAGTATACAATACGGAACACAAAGAATATAACTTCTAAATCAAACACCTGGAGTGACCCGTCCCCTCATGGGCAAAAGTCAACCCAAAAGGGGTTGGCCCAGAGCAAGGCCTGAAAGCCGCCACAAGACGAAAGCACCTTCTGGCCGGGACCCATGGGAAAGGGTCAGAAATGGCCAGACAGATCTGGGAGGGAAAGAGCAACATCAAAATCAATATAAACACTGCCATAGTCACCTCCCTACAGGTCTCTCACCCACATCTGCCCTAACCAGTCCAGGGTCAGGAAACAAGCACGGTTTCTTCCTCACAGGCTTGCTGCTCCATGTGGCTTCCTCAGGTCTCCGTCTTTTTCTCCATCTGGTCTCCTTCCCTCCTCTCTTCTTTCTCCTTTTTCTCTGCTCAGCTCCACCCTCCTTCTGGGTGGGGCAGGGAACCTGGAACTTCCCTTCTCCTAGGGACCACCCAGTTACAAGAGGACTCACCACAGACGGAGTGGGGAGCAGCTGTTCCTACGTTTTGTTTTTTTTTTAAGATTTATTTATTTATTCATACAGAACTGGGGTACAGGCCAGAGATGCGGAGGGTGAGAGGATTCACCAGAGAACAGAATAGGATACAGAACAGGCAGATCGACCAAGTACACTGCTGAGGGGAGCAGCGGGCGGGTCAGGAGAGGTCTGCCTAGCCATGTGTATCTCCTCCCGGGCAGGCGGGAATCGAACTCATGTGGAAGTGGCTTAAGCTTCTTAGTGCTGTGCTTTAACCCGCTGCGCCACCAGGGAGGGCCTGTTCCTACGTTTTTAATAGAAAATGTTATCCCATTCATAAACTTCCTTTTTGGTGTGCAAAATTTTGAATAAGTATTTAGTTTTAGCACCAGCTTTTTGAAGCAGACCCCATTGGGTTATGAGATTTATTCCTGGGTGCATTTTTGCTAATATTTTGCCTGAGATATTGTATACATATTTTTTAAAAGATTTTATTTATTTATGCATACAGAACTGGGGTACGGACAAGAGGTGTGGGGGTGGTGAGAGGATTCACTGGTGTACATAGGTTTTAATTATAGATTCTGTCCCTTTAAGAGTAGATGTAGAGCTGTTTGTTGTGAGGATTGTTTTTCAATTAATTTTTCATTTTATCTAAATATTCAAAAATTTGGGCCAAAAGTTGTTTGTAATTTCTTCTCATCTTTTGATGGCTGTAAGGTAATCTGAAGTGATGTCTCTTTTTTCATTACTGACCTTAGTTTAGCTATTTAGGCCCTTTCTCTTTTTCCCTCAGTCAGACTTCAAGAGCTTTATCAATCTCATTCATCTTTTTGAAGAACTAACTTTTGGCCGATTGATTTTCTTTATTGTACTTTTGCTTTTTGTGTGTAGAAAAAATGGGGGTTAGGCCAGAGATGCAGAGGGGGTGAGAGGATTCGACAGAGATAGCGGGGAGCAGAACAGGCGGATCCACTGAAATACACTGCTGAGGGGAGCCGTGGGGAAGATGGGAGCAGTCTGCTGTGCCTCATGGGTGGCCACGGGGGCCAGCTCCCTGGGGGGGATTGAACCCAGGCTGCAATGCTCATAGTGCAGCTGTCAGGGAGGGTGTATTGTACTTTTGTTTTCTGTAGATTTGACTTCTGGTATTTGAGATACGTGCTCAGATCTCGTGTTTTTATCCTGTCGCCCCACCAAATTCTGAACTTAGGGATATAAAACTATCCCGGAATACACTCACCTGATAAGTTATAGTTCCATCTTTAGTTAAAAATAATTTGTATTTTCAGTTGCAGTTTCTAGGTCTACTGGTCTACTGATTAGATACTTCATTGTATAATCTTCAGATATTTGGTGATGATGTTATAAATTCCATTCATGCAAAAAAAATGTTATTCAATGCCTTTTATATTTATTGCAACATGATTTGTCATCTAGAATATGATCCATTTTGGCAAATATTCCATGTGCGTGTGAAAAGAATGTATGTTTTGAAGTTGAGTGCAGTGTTTCCTACATGTATTGTTATAACATATGGCTCATTTTTTTTATATCTACTATTTTTTCCATGTGGATTTGCCTAATGCAATGTGCAAAATGATCATGTTTTACTTTATATAATTTTAGGCTTAGGTCCATTATAGCTTCCTATTGGAAAGATGTAGCAGCAGTGGTTATAGGGCCTAGGGGTACAGCTTAGCCTGTGGTGGTCCCCCATGGGGCAGGAGCAGGACTGAGGGTGCCCCAGCCATAAGGAGCCAGGGTAGAAGCAAAGGCAGGGTATCCCAGCATGTCCTGGGAGCACCTCTGGCCTCCTCCATTCACCCACACACACACACTGCCCACGCCTCTGGTCACTCTGGCCTCCTAACCCTTTAAATATACTCTCAGGCAGCACTTGAGGTCCAGCGCTCTCCTGGGGCCATTCTTCTTCCAAATGCCCACATGTCCATTATCCTACTTCATTCAGGCATTTATGAAACTTCCCATCCCCAGAGAGGCTCGATCATCCTCCCTAAAATAGCTCACACCCACAAGCCATCCACTATCTCCCCCTATTTCCTGCTCTGTTTTGTTTTTAGCAATGATGACAGTCAATCTTCATCATTCAGTGCTGTGAACTCACCTTCTTGCCAAATTTCCTTGTAATTTCCCAGTCAATGTCCATAGCACTCTCAGTATCATACACACATGTGGGGGGTACGGAGACCCCCCCACCCCGACAGACAGTTCTCAGATGTCGGAGGATGGAACTCACTTCAGCTCCCTGCCTGGTTGTGGCATCAGATTCCAGCCAGGGTGCTCAAGGATGGGCTGAGGGCTGGGGATAGGGCTGGGAGCTTGTGGGGTGCTATGAGGGCTGATTTATCTGGGGGCATCAGCAAGCCATGAGCAAAGCAGGTAGTGCCCCAGGGGTAACCACCCCCCCTCCCCTTCTTGTCTTCCATCCTGAAGCCTCTGGGAAATCTCCTGTTCCTCTCCTCTCCCCTCCCCCACCTGCCCTGACTCTAGTCACCTACTACTCAGTGCTAGCTCCCAGCCTGACCAGCAGCCAGATTCCAGTCTCCCAGATTGAGCTCCACTTCCCAGCCCAGGGGCTGTATCACCAGTGCTTCTGATTGGCTCCAGACCAGCCCCGAGACACCTTCCTTAGGCCTGAATAATGTGCAGTACAACTCACAAAACTGAGGAAGCCCATTTACACACCAGGTGGATTACAAGCTATAACTGAGAACAGCCCGATGGAATTGACAGTGGACAGGACAGAGGGTAAAGGGACAACTCCCATGACCGTGCCAGATGTGCCATCTCCCCAGGTCTCCAGATGTTCCACCCAGCAGCCACACCTTTGGGGTTTTTATGGGGACTTTGCTACCAGGCGAGATCGGTGACGTCACTGGCCATCAGCAACTGATTTCAAACTCCAGCCCCTCCCTCCCCTTCCTGGGGATGGGGCGGGGCTGGAAGCTCTAATTCTCTTATCACAAGATTGGCTCCCCTGGCAACCAGCGCCCCCATCCCAGGGTGCCACCTCAAGTTACTTCATTAACATAACAAGAGACACCCTACCCCTCTCTGCCTGAGAAATCCCAAGGTATGATAGACATGTGAGCCAGGAGCTATGACTGAAGACCAGATAAGTGTGCAAAGCATATTCTGGACATCTGAATAATCAAATAGATTTCGTGTAATCATGGCATCACAGGGTCCCTTCGGCATCAGAGGGTCCAACCCCAGCTGATGAGGCCACTTTGGGCCCCTGGTTCAGTTCTTCTGTATTACTGAGTAGCCTTGTTACAGGGCACCCCAGTGTGAACTGGGCCGCCTGTCTGTGGGGCCTCACCTGCATGCTTAAAATTCAGTTGTACTACAGGCACACGCAAAAGGGTCAATAGGGGTTTATTTACAAAAGGGGAAAGGAAAAGGAACAGCTAGTTAGCATAAACATCAAATCAGCAGGTACTGAGAGGTTATTCCTAAGGAAATACAGCCTTCAGCCATCACATTTTTGTCAGCTAATCAACAAATCAACTACTTTTTTTTTTTTTAAAGATTTATTTATTTGTGTATACAGAACTGGGGTACAGGCCAGAGGCTTAGGGGCGGCGAGAGGCTTCACCAGAGACAGAGCGGGGAACAGAACAGGCAGATCTAGGAAGTACACTGCTGAGGGGAGCAGCGGGCGGGTCAGGAGAGGTCTGCCACGCCATGTGGTCACCTCCGGGGCAGGCGGGGATCGAACTTGTGCGGAAGCGGCTTTAGATTCTCAGTGCTGTGCTTTAACCCGCTGGGCCACCAAGGAGGGCCCCAAATCAACTACTTTTATGTCTGTTTCTATGTGAACAACTAGGCTGACTTGGAGCTCTGGTAACAAACTAACTGATAGCCCTCAGTCATGCAGTCCCAACGGCTTTACCAGAGAGAGAGAGAGAGAGAGAGAGAGAGAGAGAGAGAGAGCTATTGGAAATATGGCGCCCTACTTATCCCCCCAAAGTCCCAGAATGCTGCTTAGCTCCGCCCTTGGGTCCTCGCAGTTCTCTCCCTGGTACTGCTGGGAGTTGTAGTTTCCAATCCCTGCAGGAGGGGGTAGGGTCCAGAAAGCTGGAATAGGGGGTGGAGTCCACAAGACTCTGCAGAGTTCCTTTAGGACATCCTTCCCCTTAACAGCCTCTTCACCATTGACCTGGTTCACCGAACGTTGGGGCCTGCCTGGTTCGTCATTGTTTTTTCCACTTTCGTGCTTTTTGTTGGCAATTTTGCTGTTTCAAATGGCCCCAGCAGAGGCTCACGTTCCTAAGTGCAGGGGGCCCACTGTCTGGTGGAGCAGATAAACTGGCAGGTAAGCTCTGGTCAGGCCTGATTTCAGTGCCGTTGACTACAAGCCAATACTAATAAATGTTTGCATATTAAATAAGGTGTCTTCACATAGAAACAGACATAAAAGCAGGTGATTTGTTGATCAGCTGACAAAAATGTGATGGCTGAAGGCTGTATTTCCTTAGGAATAACCTCTCAGTACTTGCTGATTTGATGTTTATGCTAACTTTATAGACCAAAGCTGCAGGGAATAATGAGAACTGGTTGTATCTCCCCTGACGTGTGACATATTTGCCATTATCGGTCTCATCTACTGGCCTGTGAGCTCGAGGAGGGCAGAGGCTAGAGATAACCTGTGTACTGCTGTGGTCAGGAGAACAGCCGACATTTCATTCAGTCAGCGTATGTGGAGTGAGTGGTGGCAGGTCAAGTCTGCACAATATCTACTTTTAATTACAGGTTGAGAGGTGTTTAGGTAAGGGCAACTGAGGAAAAGATACATTTATTCAAAATGAATTGAGTCAGGCAAATGTCAAATTTCTGGAAAGAGCCAGGAATTAGCATGTGCCAAGGTCCTGAGGCCGGAGCCTTTAGCTTAGGTTCTAGGCACGGCAGAGAGGCCAGCATGACCGAAGAAGAGGGCTGCCGGAGGGAGCTGGAGGTGACCAGACAGGATCTTCTACCCGTGCTACACCCAGCGCCAAGTGTGCCCAGACATAGCGGTGTCCAGAAGAAGAAATGTGTGGGCGCCCACCTGTGACGCTGTACTGCCCAAGAGTGGCGGCTAAGACGAGACATCAGATAGGCTGTGAACGCATCACAGAGCAGAGGGGGCAGGAGGGGGCCGCCTGGTGTGCCCTGCAGCTCACCCTGCTGCAGGGGCTGCTCCGGGACCTCATGGGTGACCTCACAATGTCCAGGTGGTGCCCGCCCGCTGCCCCAGTCCCAGTCCACCATGCTGATCGCCCTGTGGTTGCTGCTCAGCTGCCCCCTCCCGGTGCTGCCCTCCCAGGTGTCCATCAGCTGCCCGACGGGCAGGCAGTGCCAAAAGGCGCTGCTCTCGGACAATGACATCCTCTTGCGCTGCAATCTCTCGGGGGCACAGTGGTCCTACGTCTTCCTGCAAGACGGCAGCAGCTGGTCCAGCAACCTCACCAGGGTCCCCAACCTGGGGCTGACGGCCGAGGGCCTCCTCATCAGACGTCCACGGCCCTCCCAGACCGGCTTCTACGAGTGCCGGAGCAAAACCAATGACAGCGTGCTGTACGGGATCGACTTCCAGGACGCCAGCACCCTGCATGTCACGCACCGAGGCCTGGGCCAGGAGCCGCTGCAGAATGAGAGCCTGGGTCTGGGCAGCAAGGAGTTCATCTTCACCCGCTGGGAGGCCTGGCAGGACTGTAACCACTGTGAGAAGCCCGGGGAGCGGAAACGGCTGGGGTACTGCTACATCCAGGACCCCCAGGAGAAGCCGGTGCCCTGCTGGCTGTACTTGGGACACCTGAAGATGTGGTCCAGCCGCCTGCGGCCCGAGATGCAGGTGGAAGCCTGCCACCTGCTGTGCAAGAAGTTGCAGGTCGACTACGTTGTCTTTGACAACTACGAGCTCAGTGACAAGTCAGAATCCGCGTGGCTCACCTGCCCCCTGGGATCCATCTACAGGTGACAGGCAGACGCCAGCCCTCCCTGGCCCGCTAGGCTCCCGGCCTGGAGACTGTGAGGTCAATCCGAGAGCCCTTCCCCCTGTAGCCTGAGGTGTGGCTTTGGCAGAATCCCTGGGGCTCCCACTCGGGAGGTGGAATGAAGACAGCCAGACTCAGGGAGGGCTTGACAGCCCCCCCACTGTGGGCCAGATTGTGGGTACAGCATCAGACAGCGGCAGGGCCTGCCCTCAGGGACCCCACGGCCCAAGGAGGGAGACACTGCCGGGGTGTCAGGGCTGGCATGGGGGCTGGGGGGAGGGCTGGGCGCTTGTGGGGGTCCATGAGGGCTGATGAGTCTGGGAGCATCCGCAAGCCCTGAGCAGGGAAGGTAGTGCCCCAGAGTACCCTTGTCTTCCAGCCTGAAGCCCCTCGGAAATCTCCCTTCTCCTCCTCTCCCCTCACCCACCGGCCCGACTCTGGTAACATCACCTGTTGCCACTCAGTGCTGCGTGTTCACCATGGGCTGGTGCCTGGGCAACCTTCCCTCATGGACCACCTCCGCTCGTGTCCCTCCCCCCGGGCCCAGGAGCTGTGGGTGGGGAGACACATTCAACAGACAGCGAAACTGTAGCTTGGAGGCGGCAGTCCTTGCCCGGGGGCCCAGGATGGGAGTGGCCCACGGACCCTAAACCCCACACGCGGGGGCCATGGGTCCCCTCACACGGCAGTGACAGCACTTCCACAGCAGGGGAGGGGACACTGGTCAGAGGGGAGCCCGAGCAGCCTCTGCGGGTTCTGCACCCCGCGCACCATGGTCTCTGGCCCCCACCTCCATCTGGCTTTCTTTCCCTTATTTATTCCAGCCAGGACACCTAGTCCCCTCTCTCTCTTGCCCATGTGTGTCCATTCCTTGCTTCCTCCTCCTTTGAGTATCGAAGTAGCCCCTGCCCCCTAAAACCCCACCACTCAGCAGTGCAGGGAAGTGCCAAGTGGACCCTCGTGGCTCCAGGGCTGGGCATCTTCTCCTCACCGTTCCCACACGAGGGGTTCCCACGCCCCGTCAGGGGTCGCTTCGGGAGAGACCCAGGAGTGGCCCCGAGGCTTCCAGCTTGCCAAGTGGAAGGGCATCCCCGTGAGGTCTGTCTTGGGCCCCGGGCTCCCAGGCCGCTTCCCAGCCTGGGGCCTGAGGCCTGCGGCTGCTCTGGGGCCTCAGTTTCCCTGTCGTGCCTTCGGGACTTCACTCCCCACTAGCGCCGCCATAGCAAATGCCACCAGCAGCGTGGCTTAAAACACGCTCATTCTCTTCCGTTCTGGAGGCGAGAATTCAAAGCCAAGGTGGCTGCAAGCTTCACCCCAGCGGGTGGCCTGGAGCTCCAGGTGGAGGCCCCTCGGGGTTCCCTTGGCTCCAGGCCGCCTCGCTCTGACCTCCCACTCGCTGATGTCGGGGCCTCTGGCTCTTTTTCTCTGAGACGCAGCCCCTCAAGGACTCGGGGCCCACTCCGGCACCCGCTCACCCTAACCAGCCCCATCTGCCTGACCCTATTTCCAGATCAGGTCACATGCTGGGGCTCTGGTGAGGACATGGATGAGGGACACTAGAAATTCAGCACAGAGGTGGTGCTGGTCCCGGCCTTGCAGGGTGATGGCGATGTCTGTGTGGTGCCGGTAAAGGCCGGCTGCATGGGCCGGTCCCACACTTTAAGGGGGTGTCAGCCACGCTCGCGTGGCCCCTGGCCCAGCCTACAGCTACCAGGGCATGTGGGCCCTGGCACTGGCTTTCCCTCATCGTGCGGCCTCACTGGCTGCTAAGCACTGTTCCCGGTACTTGGGGTGCAGCTGAGATTCCTGCCCTCGTGGAGCAAGACGCCAGTTCCATGAGTAAAGCGCTGGGCACTTCAGGTGGTCCTAGGGCTGGAGGGGGCTGGGGATGGCGACCGGCGTTTTAAATAGAGTGGCTCTGAGCAGGAGGCATTTCCGCCAAGACTGGAAGGGGGAGGGAGCCACGTGGACTCTGGGAGAATGTTCTAGGTAAGGCAACAGCCAGGGCCACCTGCTGCTTCGCCCTAGAGGGAGCCCTCTGCATGCTGTTCCCCAGGGAGGGGGCGAGCCCCGCCTGCCCCCCTCAGATGCCCACCCCTGCCTCGGGGCGCTGCAGCGGACCTTGTTGTTTTGCAGGCCAGTTATCTGGGAAGCCAACAGCGTGCCCCTGACTTGGCAGGACCAGCTCTCGGGCCAGGACAGCGGCACGGTCCTGGACCTGTCCAGCGGTGGCCGGAGGCTGCAGATCTTCCAACCAGCCGTTTACAAGTGCTTCGTGCAGCAGGAGCTGGTGGCGCGCTTCAACCCCAAGCCCAGCCCCGAGATCCTGGTCATCCAGAAGGAGGAGGCCGAGGCCCCGCGGGAGGCACACCAGGGGAAGGCCCGCTCGGTCCTCCAGGGGCTGAAGCTCATGCTGCTGGTGGGCACGGCCCTGGGCCTGTTCCTTTTGCTTTTCAAGTTCCTCCGCCCTTCCCGGAACAAGAAGAGCAAGCAGGTGCTGCTGGTGCAATAAAGGAGGCTTCTGTGCCCCAGACCCGCCTCTTGCCCCTGGCTGGCTCGTGTCCTCCCCTGCCACCCCTCGCCCCTGCCCCTTGCCCCCCTCCAGATGGCAGGGACCAGCCTGACCTGTGGCCACAGCTAAGGGCCACCGGACCCTCCCTTGTCAGCGTCCTGCTCAGTGAAGGCATTAGCAATCGCCCTTGCACAGAGCGGGAAACTGAGGTGAGACACGTCTTGCGAATTGAAGGGGGCTCTGGTTCAAGTTGGCTCTGGACCCAAGTTGCCTGGCTCAAGCCCTGTGTCCTTCACAGTGAGGAAGGCGGGGGAATGGGATAAGGCCATTTGGGTGAATCTCGGGTGTGATAAACCTCACCACACTCCCCCGAGGATACAAGTAGAGACACAGGGAGTGGGGAACCCAGAGCCCCCAGTGGGAGCTGGGCCTTTCCTTCCTGTTGCTCAGCTCACTGGCAAGGGCCTCCTTGCCTAGGGCCTGCAGGCTTCACCACAGTACCCCAACTGGAAAGGTGCCGCTGGGGCAGGAGCAGCCAGGCACGAGACACCCTTCCTGGCTTTTGCAAAGGAGACACCCCCTCGCCTGCCAACACACACACACACGCACACACACACCCCTCAGAAGGAACCCTGAGCTGGGGAGACGGGCCTCCACCCCAGACAAGGCGCCAGACCTGGCCCCGCCAACCCACGGGAATCGCTTGGCCGGCTCTTCCCAGAAACTATGCACAGGGCAAGAGCCAGAGATAAAATATTCATGCCTTTGAGATTCATTATTCTGAGATTCCATTGTGAGGCAACCACAGAACTGACCTGAAACTTTCAGCGTTAACCCTAAGGGGAGGACAGAGTGCACCCCTCGTTTTGGGTGGTGCTAGAAATGCAAAGATTCCTGCAGGTCTGGGGTTCCGCTGGGGAGCAGAGGCAGAGGGTCACGATGATAGTGGTGAATCCGCGCAGCCCCCAGGCGGGTCAGAACCAGAGCCTTTCCAAGCATGCTGCCTGTACAGCTGCAGGGAGCTGTGGCTACTTTGTTTTGCAGCCGAGAAACCAGGTGCAGGAAGCTCCCCCCACCTGCCTGGGGACACACTGTGAACCTGGGGAGGTGCCAGCCACATCTTTGCCTCTCCTGCCCCCACCACCTGCTCCCAGGAGACCCTCAGTGTCGGTCGCCCCATCTGTGACCAGAGCGGCTCGGCCTGAGCTTCCTGAGGGTCCAGTGCCAGGGTGACCCAAGTCCCACCACCCATGACCAAGGTGGCTGGTGCCCCACAGTGGCAGGCCTCAGGTGACTCACAGCATCACTTCTTGATGCCCCATCAGTCTGCATGGCACTGGCTCCTATTTTTTAATTAATTTTTTTAAAAAAAAGATTTATTTATGCATACAGAACTGGGGTACAGGCCAGAGGTGTAGGGGGGGTGAGAGGATTCACCAGAGATAGTGGGGGACAGGACAGGCAGATCGACGAAGTACACTCTGAGGGAGCACCAGGCAGGTCAGGAGAGGTCTGCCGCGCCATGTGGGTCAGCTCCCTGGCCGGGGTTCGAATTCATGACGAAGCAGCTGCAGACAGCTTCCTAGTGTTGTGCTTTAACCCACGGCACTGGCTTCTAACCAACAGAACCCTGTGCTGGTTGGGGTGTCACTCCCTCAATTAGCAGCCACAGAGGCCACAGGCTTGAGGATGAACCCTCCCTCCACACTCACCCACAGGTTGCTGTGGGCAGCCCCTGGGAGCTGTTTGGAGATAAGATGGGAGTTTTGGGGAGGCCTATGAGCCCTGGAGGGATGGGCTTTGATATCTGTTTTATTTAATTTTATTTTGCATAGAAGAACTGGGGTGTAGACCAGAGGGGAGGGTAAGAGGACTGATGTCCATTTGAAAAGGTGATTGGGAAAAGCTCAAGTTTTGCAATCTTATATAGGTGAGGGTCAGCACCCTTAGACCAGAGTGGGGTGTCAGCCCCACCCCCCTCCAGGTTCCATCATTTTGCAGAAGAAATGGCCAGGGCTGTCCTTCTTAGCCCCCCCCAACACCTGCAAGAGCAGCCTGACACAAAGTGTGCCCCACAATCCATTTTTAACCATCTTGTTCTGCCCCTTTCCCTTCCATAGTGTAAATTTTTAAAAGACTTGATTGTTTTTTTTAGAGCAGTAGTTTTCAGTCCACAGCAGACCGAGAGCCAGGACAGAGCGTTCTCATACACTCCCTGTGCCTGGAAGACCAGCCACCAGTCTCGGACCCCCACACCAACCTCCCACACTGGAGTTTGTTACAACTGGTGGACCTACAATGATGCATAAATATTGCCAGTTCCTGGTTTCCCTCCGGGTTCATTTCTCCCTGTTGTGTATTCTGTGTTTAATTTTTACTGATTTAATTGGCCTAGAGTAAGACCCAAGGGCTGAGGGGTGCTGACCATTTTATCTTTCAAGCTAGAACTCCACTTTCAATGCTCTCACCAGAATAGTCTTAGTCATTAAGTAGTAATCCCAGAATTATGAAATAAATGTTCAGCCAATTTAGAGTGCTATGTAGTTATTAGTTAACATGGTCTTAAGCTGGCAGGTTACTATGTATCTTGTATAAGCTTTTATTTGTTTCTTTATTTCCCCCCCCATCCCTTAGAGACCCTTATTCCTTTCTTTCCCCTACCTCAGAGCCCTCACACCATTTATTAATGTCTACTGGTTTTTGTTTTATCAAATTGTTTCCTTTGTAAGTGTCAATATTCATTTTTATCATTCTGACTTGCTTTACTTCCTCCATTTTGCTACAAATGGCTGTCCTCCATCCTTTTTATGACTGCATAGTATTCCACAATGTGGATCTAGCACAACTTCTTGATCCATCTGTCTGCTGATGGCCACTTAGCTGCTTCCATGTCCTCGCTAATGTATTGATAAATGATGCTGCTGTAGACAATGTGGTACACGTCACTTTTTGCATTGATGACGTCATATTCTTTGGATGGATGCCCAAGAATAGGATTGCTAGACCTTAGAGTATTTATGCATTTTCAGTTTTCTAGTTTTTTAAGGAAATCTTGACTGCTTTCCACAATGGCTGCATGTGTTTACACACCCACCAATGGTCGAACAGGGTTCCATCACTTACTGTACATCATTTTGTGCATTTTTTTTTTATCTCAGTTGTAATCTCTGTGGATTTACCATCACCCAATCACCCATGTGCCATCACCAGAGTCCAGTGCATTTTGTTCGGGGTGGAGGGGTCTTTTTAATTTGTGTCATTTGTATGGGTGTGAGATGCTATCTTCTTGTGTTTTTAATCTGCATCTCTTATTAGATGTGATGATGAACAATTTTTCATCTCCCTTACCCTCTGGAAATTCTCTTTGTGAGCTGTCTATTCATATTTGCTACCCGCTTATTAATTGGGTTGTTTGTTTTCTTATTGTTGAATTGTGTATTTTATATATGATCTTAGATATTAACCCTTCAGCAGTTATATATAGTGTGAATATTTTCTCTCATTGAGTAGGATGTCTTTTTTTTTTTTTTAAGATTTATTTATTTGTGCATACAGAACTGGGGTACAGGCCAGAGGCTCAGGGGTGGCGAGAGACAGAGTGGGGAGCAGAACAGGCAGATCAACGAGGTACACTGCTGAGGGGAGCAGCAGGCGGGTCAGGAGAGGTCTGCCACGTCATGTGGTCACCTCCGGGGCAGGCGGGAATCGAACTCTTGCGGAAGTGGCTTTAGCCTCCCAGTGCTGCGCTTTATCCCGCTGCGCCACCAGGGAGGGCCCGAGTAGGATGTCTTTTAATCTTCTTATATTGTCTTTCATTGTATGAAGGCATTTCACTGGAAGTTAATTCCAAAACATCTTTATCTGATTAACCTTAGTTTGAAATAATCCACGTGCTAAAGTGAGGTGTCTTTGGAAGATTTCTCTGGACATCTTGGGGAGACTCATCCCTCAGGATCCAGATCTAACTGAGCCTACAAGTTGTAATAACCACTGTGCAGCTGACTTTCCTGAAGTCCTCAAACAGGGTGTCTCTCTTCCCAAGGGAGGTCTCTGTGTTGGTGACATTAACTGCACAGGGGCTTGGAAGTGAGTGGGCTATTGGGCAGCCGCTCTGGAATGATCCACAGCTGGACAGATAAGACAAGGTCATTCAACAGTCATTCACAGCTTTCTCAGCTGTTTCTTTGTCTTTCACTTTACCTCTTTTTTAGGATGAATTAATTAACATCATCCGTTGAGTGCTGGTTCTCTGCCAGGAATTGTGCTAAGAGCTATTGGATAATGAGTTCATACCTTCTTCATGACTACCCCAAAGGATCGCTATTTTGCACAGCAGAAAACTAAGGCCCAGAGAGGTGAATTCATTTGCCCCTGGATACAAAGAGAGTGTATCAGTGGCGGCTGCAAAACAAGATAGCTCCCAAACCAGAGATCTAAATAGCAAGCACAGGGCTTTCCCTGGAGGCGCAACAGGTTAGGACACAGCACTGCAAGCTAGCGGTGGCCAATTCAGTGTGAATTTGATCCCCCGCCCCAGAGGTGATCCACATGGCACAGCAGACCACTCCTGACCCTCCCGCTGCTCCCCTCAGCAGTGGACTTCGTCGATCTGCCCGTTCTGCTCCGCACTCTGTCTCTGGTGAATCCTCTCACTGCCCCTGTGCCTCTGGCCAGTACCCCAGTTCTGTATGCACAAATAAATAAATCTTTAAAAACAAATAGCAAGCATGGATTATGGCTTGCAAGTCTATACACCAGCTGGGTTATTCTTTTGGCCTTAGCTGGGACCATTTCTGCTCCTCTGATCAGCAGAGGCCAGGGGTTGGCTTTGCTGACCTTGACTGAGTCCCCTCACCTTTCAGGAGTTCGCAGGTACAGGTCCCTTCGGCTGGGGCATTTGGGGGGTCTCCTTCCTATGGTGTCTCATGCTTCAGCAGGTCAGCCCAGCTTTGTCCACAAGGTGGTGGCAGGGGTCCAAGAATGTGCATGGAGGTGCAGTT